AAACATTGGAGCCTGGGTCAATGTTTTGTTTGGAGAGTTGATCCGCAAATCAAATCCCAACCCAATCTCTTGTCAGTTGATGCAAACCCCTCTGAGATAGAGATGCGAAACATCTCAGTATGTGTTATAAGAAATTGACAAAGAATTAATTAATTAAATGTGATTTTAGGGCGGGTTAAATTGTCAGTTGTAATGTAGGCCTACAATTATTTCCGGATAATTATTATCTCAATTTAATAAAGATACGAGAAAGTAATTATTAATGTAGAGGATTTAGAATTGTAATTAATAATTTAAGTTGCCAAATCGTAGTTAAACGATTGCTTGATCCAGAAAGTGACGTGGGGTGGCTGTAAGAAATTACCACGACTGTTTTCATTGAAAGATAAATCAAAATTTTTCTACGTATTGAAATTTGTAAGACAATTTTAATCAATATTACTCAGGGGTACAAAAGTATTACTATAATATGTCATAGAATGTTTCAATATTCAAAGCAGTTGGGTTTTTGGTGTAGAATTGTGTACCCCATATTCAAGGTTACACAAAAAATATAAAATTAGAAAAATATAAAATACTGACTTTATCTGAGTTACATAGATTGTATACAATTTTCTTGTTGTGGTTTGTTTTTATAGTACAAATGTATAATGTAGTTTATTTCAAAACTTACTTTCCTTTCTTTCGGCGGAGACCTATACTGAGGTAAAGTTATAATTATGAAGGTGGTATACAATTTCCTCTTGACTGTACAAAAAGAATCCAAAATAGAAATATATAATGATATAATTAATTTGGTAGAATAAACAACTTGTGTTTTAGCATAAACCTGTACCCTGACAAAACATGTTTTGCTCTTGAGCCTTTATTTGAATGGTAAAAAAATTTCAACTAGTGTTTTTGCGTGGTAAAAAAGTACCAATGGACGGTTGTGTTCCACACTCGTACCCTGACTTGAAATTACTCTATATCTCAGTTATCCACGTAATACTAAACTGTGCTTTGATGGTACTGATAATCATTATCTAGTTTATTTGGTTGAATACTACTTTTTGTGTTGACCTGAACCCCAACTTTCGATTTGCGTATAAATATTTACGAGGGGTTACAAAGCCCATGGAACAGAAGTTACAAAATTCATAAAGGGTTTAAGGTTTAAAAATGTAGTGTTGGGGTACAAACCCTATGAAGCTTAACACCATTGATTTTAATTTGATACGATTTATCTATTTAGACTAATGATGAATGGAGGTCCTTATTAAAATATAACTCTTAAATATCATAATCATACATGATCAAAGACTTAAAGTATTTTTAAAGACTTTTTTATCGACACGCATTGTCTTTTTAAAATAATTTATAAACACTGAATAAGAGCAAGAGCGTACCACTGTAGAACATAGAAAGAAGATAAGAATGATTAAGAACACCTAAACTACCTACAGTAACGGGTAACAGTTCTTCACAATCGCAGTTTGTCAGCGACTTTGTTTTGGCTGTAAATCAACAATGGAATTGCAGGTTTTTATCCTCTTCCCTTTTCCTCCTCCTCTTTTTCTTTTAACTTCTTCTTTTTAATAAGAGATTAATTAGGACTGTTTTCTCCTATTACATGTGAAACACTTTTAAAGAAGCGGGTTTAATTGTTTTATTTCATAAAATTCATAAACAAAATATTAATACCACATTTACTTTTTTGCTAAATTAGCCCAAGCAAATTAGGAAAAATAGAGGAACAAATCTATGTATTCCCAATTTTTTCAAAAATGTGTCGGGGAGGGTCCCCTAATGAATATATAATAGATGAGAATAAAATCACCCTGCCGCTCTCTGGTGGTGGGAGGTATAAATGCCCCAATTTGCGGTTTTTTGCTTATAACTTGAAAACGGCGTGTCGTAGCTTAAATTGTTCAGTGTAAAAGTTAAAGCTTATTAAATTTGCTACAACTTTGATCATATACATTATTAGTGAAAGACGCATTGTTTCTGAGATATCCGCGCTCAAAAAAATATAACGTTCAAAAAAAGATTTTCATATCACATTTGTCGTTAAAATCTTATTTGTTTCTCCTCCCTTGTTATTTTTCAGAAATATTGACGGAAAGAAGGTTGTAGAGAATTAAATTTACTTCAATAATATATACAAATATGTAATTAGATAAGATGTAGGTATAAAGTTACAGCGTTTTTAAGATTAAAAGAGAAAATCATGAATTACACAAATAGTTGCAAAGTTTTGATTTTTTATCATTGCACGATTTGTATGGTTTCTGATCATTGTTTAGGCCAAATATAAGTATATTTAAGGTAAAAATTAGTAATAGTTATGTAAATAACAATTTGACAAAATAAAAAGCTTATCTATTTATTATGATGATCCAAGTTAAAACAATTAAATCATACATTCCCAGGTATGTACCTGCGAGGGAGCTTGCCTGAACCATGCAACAACAATGTGAAGATGATGAGGAAGAAGACAATGAAAAGAATAAGATCAATCTTTATCATAACATGAATTTGTGATGTATTTCTCAGTGGCAAGAACTAGAATATTTAATTATAGAACTAATGTTACCTTAGCCTTTGTTTTTGTTTTTGCAAGAACAACATTATTTTGCTCAGTCAACATTAGTTCTATAATTAAGTATGAATTTATTTTGTATGTTTTAATTGTTTTAACTGGGATCATCGTAATAAATAGATAACCTTTTTATTTTGTCTAATTGTTATTTACATAACTATTACCAATTTTTACCTTAAATATACTTATATTTGGCCTAAACAATTATCAGAAACCATACAAATCGTGCAATGATAAAAAATCAAAGCTTTGAGACTATTTGTGTAATTCATAATTTTCTCTTTTAATCTTAAAAATACTGTAACTTTATGCCTACATCTTATCTATTTTCTATTTACATATTTGTATATACTATTGAAGTAAATTTAATTCTCTTCAACCTTCATTCCGTCAATATTTCTGAAAAATAACAAGGAAGGAGAAACAAATAAGATTTTAACAAAAAATGTGATATGAAAATCTTTTTTCGAACGTTATATTTTTTTGAGCGCGGATATCTCAGAAACAATGCGTCTTTCACCAATAATGTATATGATCAAAGTTGTAGCAAATTTAATAAGCTTTAACTTTTACACTGAACAATTTAAGCTACGACACGCCGTTTTCAAGTTATAAGCAAAAAACCGCAAATTGGGGCATTTATACCTCCCACCACCAGAGAGTGGCAGGGTGATTTTATTCTCATCTATTATATATTCATTAGGGGACCCTCCCCAACACATTTTTGAAAAAATTGGGAATACATAATTGGGATTTGTTCCTCTATTTTTCCTTATTTGGACTTATTTGCTTGAACTAAATGTCAAATAAGCTGATTTCGTTAATTTACTTGAAGCCTTCAAACAAGGGATGACTGTATTGCAGCTGCTCAGGTTACATTTAACTGGAGGTTAGACGGTGATTTAGAAACTAATGTTACCTCTTTAATTCGTTCATCCACTTTCTTTCGTAGATATTAATAAAATATAATAACACTTTGGCAGAAGAACAAACAAAGGTCAAAGACAACGATAAAAATAAGAATTACATTTAATCACAGTCAAAAATAATTTCCTTTTATGTACATATAACTTTGTAAACAAGTTTTATAATGAATTAAATAACTGACATAACTTTAAAATTAAGAAACATAACAATATTAACTGAGTATTAGATAATTTACACTTTATAATATTAATTACATATATTGGTAGCTTAATCGTATTGCATATATTTCGTATTAATATCCAATAGTAATTACTATACGTGTATATTCATAAAAAAGAATATTTAAATTTCAAATTCTCGGATTATATACACGAATACTCTAATCCATGTAATATGGCCAAAATATTCCATCACTTTATTCAATTCTAAATTTATTAGACCACTATTTTTTAATGAAATTTTAATTTAGGAATCATTTTAATTTTAGGAAGTCCCATACAGTACCATTTTGTTCTACATTCAAATATCGTATATTTCATTTCATACGTTATAAAAGTAATAAAATCCTATTTTAAAAATACGCATGCTAATTGTAGTAAATACTAAGTTACAAATTTTCTGTAGTATTTGGTAATAATCATGACTTATAAATTTTGCCATCCGCAAATTGCTTATTATACTCTCTGTTCAAAGAGAAAACAAAGAATAGCAAATTTTATCATGTTACTCGACTATCACAATCTTTTTCTGATTCCTTAAAATTTTCATATTTTATTCCTAATTGTTTTCTTCTTGAATTGCTTATTTAATGTAAGATGTTTTTATATATAATAAAACTATTATCATAGTACGCTATTATGATTCAAAAACTAAAATCTAACATTTCTGTTTAAAACAACCGACAAAGTTTATTATATTTTGAATATCTTGCCAGTATTTACCACCGTTTATAAATTGGTGTTCAGCTATATAGTTACTTGTCACAAACTATTTACAAAAAGTTTCCTGGTAATTTAAACGGCATTACATCGTTCTAAGAAGCTGGTCCCCAGAAATCAAGCATTATTCTAATGTCCAGTAGCCTAATGTGTAAAGGCTTTACGACAGTCATAACATCATGTTTCACTATTTTTAGTGTATAAATAATATCATAATAAGGACTATGTGCTAGAATTTAATGGCTAAACAAAATGTTGAAATGTTTATAGGTTTGTTTTTACCGCACAGGAAAAATCGTGATGCTAATAGGGAACTGATGTGAGTGTGAATCATGACACTTTAAAATATACAAATCGTCAATTGTATTGACTGAAAAATTTCATATTTATGAAAAGGTATCGTTAAAGTCTTATCCTTAAATGCGCACTTTCGCATGACAAATACTTACGTAATACTATCCTATTATAAACACTTTCGTCTTGTAGCTTTGTGAAATTTTAACAGAATACATACAAAAAAAATCAAACTATTCTATAAAAAAGAGTGACTTAATTATATAAATTTTTCTTTCGAACATTACAATTCTTTCTTGAACTCCTAATATTAATAATACAAAAACAGATCTCAACCAACTTGTTATTGTTCTGCATGTATCATTGGTCGTTAGTTGTTTAGGTACCACTTTTAGATCGATATGCCTCCAAAATCATGCGTTGTGAGACTTAGAGAAATACAACCCTAAAGGGTCTTAAGACTAGTGGTAGGATAAGTTCTTGTACTTAGTAATAATGAATGGTCCACTCCTTCCAACCTTCAAGTCGTTTATGCAGTACTCCCTTTTCTCAACCAAAAAACGAGCCAAAGCAACAATATACTCTCTAAGGTATAAACTGTCATGGAGTCTATCGTTGTGTATGCCCAAATACGATACTTTTATGTAATAGTTCCTTGGTCCATGGGACAGGGGGGTTGACCGATGCAAACAAATAATAATAAACTATGATAATATAAGTTGGCTTGTATTATCATAGACTCTGCGTGGTCCAGACCCTAGGGTTGTGGAGAGTATCCTTGCGTATGTCCGAATGCTAGACGTTTATGTAATACTCCCTTGGTCCATGGGCCAAAGGAATAGGCCGGTGTTACTATAGACTCTGTGTGGTCCAGACCCTAGGGTTGTGGAGTCTATCTTTGTATATGTCTGAATGCTAGAGGCTTATGTAATACTCTCTTGGTCCATGGGCCAAAGGGATAGGCCGGTAACTATAGACTCTGTGTGGTCCATACCCTAGGATTGTGGAGTCTATCCTTGCGTATGTCCGAATGCTAGACGTTTATGTAGTATTCCCTTGGTCCATGGGCCAAAGGGATAGGCCTATGTCACGCGTGCGCCATATGGTCGTGTCGTTTTTTGCAGTTCTCGTGCAGCAAGTAGCACAGTGCTATTGTGATCAGCACTGCGATAGTGATGGCCAGCACGATGGACATCCATACGATCTCTTCGTTGATTCCAGTCAAACTTTGTCCTGAAAAAGAACAAGGATAATTATTAGTAACGCATAGATATTGATTAGAAATCGTAAATGAAATTTACCAGACACTGATATATAACTTACTCGTAATTTGTCCCATCATCCATAAACCCACTTAACCTTCTTCTTACATGGTTCCTGAATTACATGGTTCTGGATAATACCTTTTTGTGAAATATAAATTATACGTGTAAATCAACAACTGTCCTAGTAGTTATAGCAGAAATCAATTAGCCTTTTTTGTAGTTACTGGTTTTGTTATATTGTTTGTGGATCTAAATTAGCATCGGATCTTTAGTGTAACAACAAGGTAGTCAAGAACATAAGCTGTACCTACTTACAACCTATCAGGACAAAATTTAACCTTATATTTTACCCTTATAATTTATTTTTCATATTATTGGAGTAATTAAATATTCCTATATATGATTGGTATTTTAAAACATTACTTGATTTTTATTGGAAATTCGTATTTTGTTGCTGGAGTGAACATTTGTCGCAATGTTCTTCAAATGGTCGAATGAGGTCCAATCTGGTACAAAATACAATCCATTACATGGGCCAGAAATGAACTTTAGACCGACATTCATTTTCCGACCTCAGCCTCACTACAATCGTTTTTTTTAACAGTATTTTTAGGTTCTTTCCAGGCCTTCACGGTGAAACATTCTATTTTCAAAACATGTTTTAATCAAACATACTACTACAATTTGCTGCTATTGCAGTTTTTTTGTTTACTAATACAGTTTGCTGACCCTATGATAGTAATGCTATACAGTGAGCTTTTTCCTACTTATTGGTTCTCCAAATATCAATACTCCCGTTTAGATAACGTATTACAGTGCAATAGTTACTTCCAGTAGTATCATTGTAGAGAATAAAATACAAGAAATAAATTTCAAGCGGTTTCATCATTGGGTGTAGCGTAGACAAGATAGGATTTCAGAAGATGAAACTAAAGACCCTGTCTCAGTCTCAACCCAAAACAATAGTCAATATTTCACTGTTAAAAAACAATTCTAGAAAACATTACTCTTGTATATTTGGTAATAACGTTAATGATGCACAATTTTAAACCACAAGGTTAAGTAAGATGCGCTTTTATTTGCAGATTCGTATTCATATTATGCGAGCTTTTAGTGATTTTTAATTTCATTAAAACAACATTTTGTGTTACTTGTAACCCTAGGGGTTAGCTATAATCGTTCGAACCTTTTAAATGTTATTTATTTATGACGTAAAAGCAAAATATAGACGTTAACGTAGAGAAAAACCCTAAGTCCGATTTCTACCGTTTTAAATTTATACCTTCCCATAGGGTCTTACTATGACTGTGATAAATGTCGTGCAGATCGCTTCAGCCATTCATTGTGGTAATTTAAATGAAAGTTAAGTTTAAGTAAAAAAGTTCATGATTACTTAACTTGTAGTCTGGTGGTTTGGGACGTTTGGGGAAAATATAAAAACAAGTCAAATTGAAGGCTACGTTTAGACTGCTCAAGTGGAAATATCATCTGTCTCCTATCATAACCTTAAAGTGTGCTTGCCAACCATTTAGCGACGGAATTGTATCTAACCTTAAATTTCTCATCTTATTACAGGAAATTGTGTTTTTGGTCTGGTGAAATTAATTTCAAAATAAATATTATGATTTCATGAATCCCTTAGTCATTAAATAACCAGGTTATACGATAGTAAAACAAAATTAATAGTTTATTTTAGTTTAAAATTGGTTTGGTTTTCAATTATTTTACTATAACTTATACACAATTCTATAATATGCCAAAATTATAACTACTTTTGTAGACCAGATAGATGAATATAAATGTATTTTCAATGCACTTTGTAACAATTTTATGAATTTTGTATTTTAAAATTTTGTCATTTAGTAAACTTATTAGTTTTGTCAAAACTTGATGTAAGCCTGCAACCACCGTGAGCTCTCTGATTGGCTGTTCATAGTCGATCCTATTTAAAGATAATCAGAGTGCCTACGTCACAACCGAGCTTATAAAAGAGGTCGGACCACGTGACCCGGTCTCATTTGGTCAGTGTAGTATCTCATTTGGTGTTGTATCATGTGAATTGCTTAGTGAACCCTTTGTGGGTAAGTCCTAGCTTAGTTTTAACAATTTTATTCTATTTATTGTTGTGAGTACGGAGGGTGCAGGCAGGCAGTGGTCTTTTATTTAATAATTTTCAGCTTCATGTAAGAATATACGTTGGCCCTTAAGGCAATTAAAAATAGGGTTCAACTACCAGTGAGGAAAAAGTCAATAAATGGGAATTAAATCTAAAAGACTATTAATTATTTACAAGAACCAAAACCTGCATACTTAAATTTCTGTGTGAATAAAACTATCCAAGAACAATAAATAATTTGTACTGGTTTGAAAAGACATTTTAAAGTAAAACGGTACAACTTTACTAGTTGGTTTATAATCTGTCTCAATTTTACACCTCAAAAATAAAAGGTAAAAGGTGTATTATTGAGAACGAAAACACTAAATATTGCCTATTTATGATTTGTTTTGAAATGGTTAAGTATGACTTTTGTTTTGCCCTAAAGTCAAACTAAAGGTTTGAAATTAAATAAAAGATTCTGGATGGTTCATTGATCATACTAATTATTTGTATCACCAACTTCAAGCACAAACACTTTGTCATACATCCAAAATACAATTTCCTTCCATTAAAAGTTCAGTCTAGCAGTCTGAACACAACATTGTCTTGGTTAGTTATGGGACCCGTACACAACGCACTGTCAAAGTCAGTTTATTAGTCAGCCATTGACAATGAGTGACATGGTAATATCATCTTACACAGTGTCAACATGAATCATCGTCTAAGGTTGAATTACAGTGTTCAGAGTGTCTTAACATGGAAGAAGACACCGTATTCTCTCATAAACAGTATTTTGTTACTATTATAATCGTTGCTCAACTTATCGTAACTAAAATAATTTCTCATAATTTAACATTTTTATAAACGTAATCCGCAGAATATTTTTTTAGTGATAATCCTGGCTAATAGGCTAAAACTCATTAAGCGCACACGCTAGTTAACCAACCGTGTTTACTAAAAAGAACTATTCCACGATTAGGAATTATAAAACTGGACATTAGTTAAGAACTTAATTTTTAAAGACTTCATTGTTGCTTTCATTTTAAGGTTACCATTTCAATGAAATTTCGAGTCATCTTTCTACTTAAAACTCTAACCTCAAATCGTCTGAAGAAAAATGTTTCAGGAGATCTGGAAATAAAAATAATCCTGGTGGTGTTAAACAGGTCTAAACATGTATTATACTCACCCCCTTTGGTCCGCAATATTACTTTGAAAGCAAGTAAAACGTCAGCACCAGAGCATTAGTGTAATGTAGTGATTTTAAATGACGCCGCGAAATTGGGACGAATCTAGAAGAATTCCAATTAAGACTTGCTGTAGACTATTTTACTTAATCGAAAGCTAGAAATTGGTTTTGATGATTTTAAAATTTCAATTTTCCATCATCTTTGGTCCTTCCGTTCATAAAATATCCCCTAAAACGTCCCCTAAATATAATTAAACGTGTTTAATTATTATTTCTAAGTCTTTTAAAAATATGTTTCTAGCTAAGGATTTTGTACACAAAATAACCACCTTATTGATTCAAATATAGATCGGTTGTAATTGTCTGTGATATTTCTCTAAATTTACCACTCACCATTTCTGATTCCATAACTTTGGACTCCTCCACCAACCCCCTTCCCTCCACGACCCCCAACAGGCATCTTGGCTAGATTCTTGACATTCCTGTAAATATTAATGGGTAGATTTGAAAACCCCCAAGATGTAGAATAAAATTGGTTGCTCAAAATCGAATACAGTTTTCTAATTGAAACACGATTATCATACGGATACGAAGAATTTTTACTTAATAATATACTACAAATTATTTTGACTATTAGTTAAGTCTTCATCTCGTATGGATAAAATACAGAGTGATTACAAATGAAATAGATAGTTTGTATTTAATTTAACGTACAGCTTGTCTATTTCATTTGTAATCACCCTGCATGTAACCGAACTGTCATCGCCAACAATGTTAGGCGACTTTTTATTTTTCTATTGTTTCGTATTTCAGTGCTATTACGATTGGATATTAATTGTTTACTTCTTAGATTATCTATCGCGTCATTAAACTGATTATTATTTGAAAATTGTGTTTTTGATCATCAAATTAGTATATAATTACGTTAACTCTAAATACATCTTAAATTCCGAAAGATTTGGCATAATTATATGTATGTTCTTTACTATGCCAGAAACTTGTCACTACGAGTAGTACTATGTATTTTGCGTTAGAGAGTCTCAGAAATAATATATGTGTGAGTGTGTTTTTGGTGTCACTTAAAAAATGTACACTTCTTGGATTTACGCGAAAAAGAACTTTTTAGAAAATGGAAAGTCTAAACTTGGTTATTGTTGATATCTCTACCATTTTTTTGTAAAAATACCTCGTTATATTGTCCAAGAACAAAATGACAACTGGGTCCTGCATCAAATTAGAAAGCTTTTTGAAGACGAGTGCTCTAAAAATTCCGCTAGTCAGTCAGTGAAACCTTATAAAATTTCAACTTAATTATATTTTTATGTGCATATTTTGAAAGAGTTTCTTTCCTTATATGCCCTCAATTAGGATTTTATGACTTATTGTTAACACTCAAGGTATACTTGACAAATCGTGCACAGGTCTAATCACCAGATAATTTAATTGTTAGTTTCACCTCACGTGAAACTTAAAAATCATCAAGATTAAATTAACAAATTAAACATGAGATAGCACTGACGTTATTGGTTTTTCTGGGTACGAAAGTAAGTTAAATTTTTACATTTTTATCCTCTTGACGTTGCTGTGTATTGAAGCAACGTTTAACCTCATTAGCTTTTTTTATTAAACGTTTACACAACATTTACTAGGTAAAACAGATTTTCCAACGACCTTTAATTTTCAAGATTTATTATTTTTCGAATTTATGGACAACTGAACTTTATTGATGAGTGAGGTGTGATTTTATTAGAAAAATTAATAATTAAGGAATTAGATTACTATTCGTATTCTTGAACTAAGGAACCCAATTATGCATGTAAACAAATTATTGGTATAATTTAGTCAAAACTTTTATCTAGGAGTAATAAATAGTTGGGAAATACTCTTAGAGCTTACTTAAGAATTAATCAAATACCAAGAAAAAATAAATTAAATCACTAAGTCTGCTATCGCCAGAGATGAGGTTACCTGTAAATTCTAAGTCCCTCTTAAATACTTTGCGGTGATTACTTGTAGGATCTTCTACATCGGAATATCCAATAACACCATAGTTGGACTTTACTTTTCTTAAATGGTATATTAAATAGTGCACTGTCTATGTTTATCTATATAAATAAAATTAGAGTTTTGTCTGTACATTGCTCAGAATTATATATTTTTAGGTTATTTTTACGTCTTATACATTAAATAAGCAGAAACGAGTCTTATCTCAATTTCTGTCTGTCTGTCTGTCTGTCTGTCTGTCTGTCTTTCCCTTTGTCTGTAACACTCAAGATGGCATTTTACGCTATCTTCTCCTGGAAAACGAGAGTACCTATCAAGATCCAAGTCATTTTAATGTATTCACTGGATTGGCGAGATTGTCTTTAGCCATTAAAATATGGCCTCACTACTTTGTAAATAATATTACGAACGTTCAAAAATGTAGTTTTGTGCGATTTATGTCAAGTTTTCGTCAAATTTTTATTGCATAATCATCTATGAAATAACGAACAGCTGTTCGGATCAAGATTATTTTTCCTAGCTGTCACTGATATGTTTACAAATGTTGTTTACAAATACCGCAACCTTTTTCAATCACGTTTTGAATGTAAATCCCAAGTGATTAAAAACGTTTTTCTTACATAACGGATTTAATTAATCGAAAGTGCAATAATATAGTGTAATAGTGTAACCGTGTAAATGAAATTAAATAACTAGGCATCATCCAGTTCAGGAACCAGAGATTCTTTGTGTATAAATTGTTCTTGAGTTTTGATAACCAGAAAGAAGACCTTGAATCAGTGTTGTATACGGCTGGGAAACTTTAAATTTAATAATGATCGTCGCCAATGGCTTAGAAATATGGTTTCCACTCATTGACACGGCGCTTCAATGGCGGTTGTGTAAGTCAAAAATCACAACTGCAGTGGTTGATTGTAACAGAGGTTTACGGATGATGCTAAACTCGCTTTTCTAATGTGTTATTTTCTGTTCCTACCATTGACTATATATATATATATAGTCAATAGTACCTACTCACCGTGTGATGCAATCGCTGGACCATACAGCCATGCTCTTGGGTACGTACGCCTACCCAATTATTCATAACAAACTGTTCGACGACGATCCTTGATACCGGTACTTTTCCCTAGAATACACGGCCTACCTACTTAAGAAATAAAATTACAAACGTCCAAAAACCCAACGTTGTGTGATTTTTGTCACATTTCCTTCTAAGATAGCCTTTACCAATCATTGTTTAGAGAATAGGTACGTAGGGCCTAATCTATTAAATAACAAAAAGTTGTTTGTATGAGGTTGTTTTTTTTTAAAACTGACACCGATAAGTTTACATTAAAAGTTGTTTACAAATAAAGCAATTATTGGGAAATAACTTTGATTGCCGTTTTAAAACGTTTTACGAGAAAATCAAAAACCAAGAGATCAATAACCTCGGGACTTGATTAACTCATATAATTGGTCGGCTGTACTATAGTTCTCAACTGTGAACGTTGGTTTTTGGTACCGGTTCTATTCCTTAGAACCGTTGGTACTGTTGGTAGTAGCAAGAATCATTTTTAAGTACCAACACATCACTGTACTTTACAAATTAGTTATCGTTGGTGTTGCACCTTATTTATTATTACAGGCGTATTCAATTTAATTGATGTCTTAACTGTACAATTTTTGCTTTTTCTTTCTTGATTCCAAAATGTTAGTTTATGCTAAGAAAACGATAACGCACTTTAGTAAAACATTTATTCAGCTAACCATAATGAATTGTTTAAACGCTTTGCGTTGTTTACGTATCAATAGTTCGTGGCCTATTTTGGTAATATTTACTATAAATTACCAATCGTCTATACCAGGGTGGCTGGACCACCCTGGACCAGTCGTCTTCATTTCATATAGTGAGCCGTCATTTCGGGTCATCATCGGTCCAAGCAAATATACATTGTTATGATGAAATTTGATGACATTAACAAAATATTTTAGATACTAATTTTACAAGTACTTTGTTATGCTTAAAGCGTAGCAAACCCCAACGAAGTGAACGAATCTATGTATCGTGTATAGCGGAGTCGGAGAAAAGTTGTCCGCTGGAGTATGTGTGTGTGTGTGTTCGCACCTAAAACTCAGGAACCGTTGCACTTATAGCGTTCAAATTTTGCACAAATAGTTATGACACCAGTGTAAAGACACCATTAAAATTCTAGACGATTCCGCTCAGTAGTAATTATAAAATACTTAAAAAACATTTTTAAATTTGTCCCATAAGAATAACATTAGGAGCTACCTTCTTCTTCTTTTTATTTGTTTACGTTTTGCGACCAACAATTTTGTTGTCTACTTAAGACAGAGAGAACGAATTTTACTCTAAGCTCTTTCATTCATGGAGTAAACAGTTTGGCGTCTATGAATATATATCATTATAATTTCACAGCTTTCAGAATAATGTTATTTAAGCTAATTAAATCTCACAACTTTCATAATAATAAATTGAACTTAACAATATTAGTCGGCAGTTATATACCGTTTATGTTCAGTATTAAAATGTCGCCTTTTAATTAAAAGTATATAGGTATGTATGTATTTAGAACAAAGCAGCTTTTTACATTATTCAATTTAATGTTGGCATTGAATATTAAATATTCAAACCTGAATATTATTAACAGGTCCCCGACGTAGAGAGTAGTAAAGAAAGCGGAAAGGTGAGCAGTGAAAAGAAAGGAGTACGGAAACCCTTTATGACTGTTAAATTAACGTATCTGTAATACTTAAATGCAATGGAAAGATATGGAAACAGGTCTACGATGTAGGAAGTAGTGAAGGAAATAGTGAAGGAAGTAGTCAATGCGAGCGCTGCGGAGTGTGGGGGCCTTTATGACAGTTAGAATAATGTATCTGCAATTCTAAAAATGCTATGGGAAGGGAGAGAAACAGGTCCACGATGTAGGAAGTGGTGAAGGAAGTAGTCAAAGTGAGCAGTCCGGAGTGTGGGAAGCCTTTGTGACAATTAGAATAATGTATCTGCAATTCTAAAAATGCTATGGGAAGGGAGGGAAACAGGTTCACGACACTTAGGAAGTGGTGAAGGAAGTAGTCAAGGCGAGCATTCCGGAGTGTGGGAACCCTTTGTGGCAGTTAGATTAATGTATCTGCCATAATAAAATGCTATAGGAAGGGAGGGAAACAGGTCCACGACGTAAGAAGCGGTAAAGGAAGTAGTCAAGGCGAGCAGTCCGGAGTGTAGAAACCCTTTGTGGCAGTTAGATTAATATAACTGCAATTCTAAATTCCAATAGGAAGGGAAGGAAACAGGTCCACGACGTCGGAAACGGTGATGGAAGTAGTCAAGGCGAGCAGTCCGGAGCGTAGAAACCCTTTGTGACAGTTAGATTAATATACCTGCAATACTAAAATGCTATAGGAAGGGAGGGAAACAGGTCCACGACGTAGAAAGTGGTAATGGAAGTAGTCGAGGCGAGCATTCTG